TACAAGAGAGTAACAAACATAAAAAAGAAGAAGGGGAGACAAGGACGATAGATGTTTGATAGGAAAGAAGCAAACCACACCAGAGCTTAACGGCACTAGCAACACAATAAGGTCATATAAGTGCCAAAGATTAGAGGTGTTACAAGAGAGTAACAAAAACAAAGAAGAAGGAAGAGATATGAGGACGATAGACGTTTGATAGGAAAGAAGGAGCAGACCACACCAGAATAGAGCACCCACCAACCACTCACTTCAACACTGTAAAGATATCTAAAAAGCAGGATCGCCGCAGTGAACACCCACCTCTGATTGGACCAAGCCAGACGGAAGGAGAGCTTTAATCTTTATCTCCGAGAGAGGGGTAAACCCACTATGCTGGGCCGCTTTTTCAACACTGAATCTAAAAATGACGAAAACGTGACTAAATTTGTCATTAAATCAAAACAAGTTAACCTATTTTGTTAGTTCTTCATCCAAGGATATAAATTCCGATCAAAGAGACATGTTTTCGGTTATTGCTGAAAAGTTTTAGTTTTAGTTTTAGTTTTAGTAGAGGTTTTACGGCACTCGCAACTGCATACGGTCATATGAGCGCCAGAAGATCAAAGGTGTTACAAGAGAGTAACAAACATAAAAAAGAAGAAGGGGAGATAAGGATGATAGATGTTTGATAGGAAAGAAGGAGCAAACCACACCAGAGCACCCGCCAACCACCCACTGCCGAAAAGTAATTTTATCTCATTCGGAAATCGCCGAAAAGTAATTCTATGTCAAAGTCGTCGAAAAGGAATATGCCCGAGCCGCTGTCAGCGACTCACCGGCACAGGAGTTCCGACCGCGAGCCGCTGGGAGTGGCTTGGCGGAGATAAAAGAGCTAAAAACTCCCCAAAAAAAACAAAGTTAAAAAAAAACCGGCACCGGGTGTTCGAACTAGGATCATCTGCATCCTAGCCAAACAAGACACCACTATGGACTACCAAAGGGCTCAATTACACCGTTTAATAAAATTTGTTATAATAATAATAATAATAATAATAACAAATATGCATTTGTATAGCGCATATATCCACGGGCCACAGCAAGCTCTATGCGTTTTACAACTATTATTACCCCAGCAGAACCTAGACCACTCAGAAACATTCTCGGTTTTCCGGGAAGTATACAGAGCAAGCTGCCCGTTTCACGCGCTCAAACACAATCAAACAGACAAGACCTTTCTCCGTCTAGACGGGCACCCCCCATCCCCACCTGGATGAAGTGAGGAAAACCGGTGTTGGTTAAGGATCTGAGTTAGTCGCCTCGCCCTATTTGTGTGTCCATTAAAAAGTACATCTCACATAAAAAAACGAGAAAAAAAACCCAAAACAAATTTTATACAAAAACAGGAAAAAAAAACTCCCCAACCCGACAGCCACCATTGCCGGTCCATCACAGTACATTTTCCCCGCTCAGCGTAACACACCGCTGTATCGTCGCCTCACAACTATTTTGTCCCAAGTGCACTCTACAGTTACGAGAACTTTGGAGAAAATAGTTCTGACGATACATTATTATTTCACTTTTCAAAATGGCGTACGGCAGAGTCTTACAATAAACAGCTCACTTTCACATCCATGTACAAAAATAAATAACCGCACGGCCTGCGATCATCACAGAGATCTCCGCGAAAACTCCGCTCACCACATCACAGGAATCATTGCCGACAAAAAAAAAAAAATCTTAAAAAACCCCCAACAAAACCTTAAAAGAATAAACCCAATAAGAACTAGGGCACGGGGAATCGACAGGCTAACGTTTCACCATCGTATCCTGTCCTTGTACTCTTCCAACACGCTCCAGCGTTTGATCGTCTCGTAGCCGAGGATGATGAAGAAGGAGAACGTGACGGACTGGACGAGCCGTGCCGAGAGACCCTTGGTCATGATCCACATCCCTTCCTCCTTCCACAGGAGATCCACCGTCTCTCCGAACTTGGTGCCCTCCACCTGAACAGGGAAATTTTCTTTTTTTAAATCGCTACCTTAGAATTACAAGGTTCTCTACGACAATTTTTGCCGTTTTGAGTTACTACGACCTTGAGGTCAAAAACCAAGTGTTCTATCTACTCTATCAAAATCGTAAGATTAATCGCAGTCGCAAGATATTTTTTTATTCATTCAAAAGTCAGCTGATGTCATTTCTGTTTTTCAATTGATCAGATGAACATTTGGAGTGATTTTTTTTTCGGTCAGAACACAACGCTTTATGCTACTGTTATACGTTGTACTGCATTGTAAATCGCTCAGAGCCTGTGTACTTTAATCGGGGTTGAGCGCTATAGAAATGTCATTTATTATTATTTGTTAAACAATTTATCGATCTGAAACATGCCTGTACAGCAGACAAGAAAAGCGCCGATATTTTCCATCTCAGATGCAGCCGTAAGATCTTAGGCATATCGTGGCGTGACAAGGTTACAAATGTTGAAGTGTTGGCACGGGCAAACCTCCAGAGCATGACGACTATCCTGTGTTAAAAAAGATTAAGATGGCTTGGCCATATCAAGAGAATGGACGACAACCGGATTTCGAAACAACTTCTCCAAAAGAACTTGCCCAGGGAAAGAGACCAAGAGGAAGACCAAAATTGAGGTACAAAGACACCTGCAAAAACAGCTTATCTAAGCTTAGAGTAGATGTTAGCATCTGGGAAGAAATAGCTGAGGACAGGAAAACATGGAGGAAAATGATACAGGAAAGAACTATAATGCTAGAGAGCAGCCTTACAAACATCCCGGCTGAGAAGCGCCAACGACGAAAGGAAAACAGCGGAAATACAGAGCTTCAATCCACGTCACTGACATGCAAGCACTGCCACAGAATCTGCGCTTCAAACATAGGAAGAATTAGCCATGATAGAAGCTGCATGAAGACAGCCTTGGGACTACCTTAAGCTAAATGACCGTCTGCATAGACGAAACGAGCCATACAATATTATTATTAAATACTATCTAGTAGTACCTCTACTCTTCGGCATTTATTTGCCCTAAGCCTGTTGCAAGTGGCGTGAAAAACTCAAACTCAAACAAAACAAAACTTGACCGCCACACCGACTGACTGACTGACCTGGATGCGAGCGCGGATGACGTCGATGGGGTTGGTGATGAGAGCGGAGGAGATGCCGCCCAGCGGACCGGCCACCACCTGGAGCAGAAGTCTGGGCACGTACACCGGGGTTACACTGGCTAACATACCTGGGGGG